GAACCTTCCAGAACCTCTTGGGACCTTCTGGGAGCTTCTGGAACCTTCCAGGACCTTCTGGGATTTTCCAGAACCTTCCAGAACCTCTTGGGACCTTCTGGGAGCTTCTGGAATCTTCCAGAACCTTCCAGGACCTTCTGGGACCTTCTGGGAGCCTCCAGAACCTTCCAAGACCTTCTGGGAGCTTCTGGAACCAACCAGAATCCCCAGGGATCTCGAGGAACCTTGGGGAACCTTAAGTGGAGCTTCTGGAACCTTCCAGAACCTTCCGGGACCTTCTGGGAGCTTCTGGAACCTCCCAGAATCCCCTGGGATCTGGAGGAACCTTGGGGAACCTTGAGCGGAGCTTCTGGAACCTTCCAGAACCTTCCAGAACTTTCTGGGAGCTTCTGGAACCTCCCAGAATCCCCTGGGATCTCGAGGAACCTTGGGGAACCTTAAGCAGAGCTTCTGGAACCTTCCAGAACCTTCCGGGACCTTCTGGGAGCTTTTGGAACCTTCCAGAACCTTCTGGGAGCTTCCAGAACTTTCCAGGACCTTTTGGGAGATTCTGGAACCTTCCAGAACCTCCTGGGATCTCGAGGAACTTTGAGGAACCTTGAGTGAAGGTTCTGGAACCTTCCAGGATCTTCTGGGACCTTCCAGAACCCTCTGGGACTTTGAGGAACCTCGAGTGGAGGTTCTGGAACCTTCCAGAATCTCTTGGGATCTTGAGGAACCTCGAGGAACCTTGGGTGGAGCTTCTGGAACCTTTTGGGGTCTCCTGGGGCCTCGAGGAACCTTGAGTGGAGCTTCTGGAACCTTCCAAAACTTCCTGGGACCTCGAGGAACCTTGGGGAACCTTGAGTGGAGGTTCTGGAACCTTCCAGAACCATCCGGGACCTTCCAGGACCTTCTGGGAGCTTCTGGGACCTTCCAGAACCCCCTGGGACCTTGAGGAACCTTGGGTGGAGCTTTGGGGACCTTCCGAAACCTTGTGGGACATTTTTGGAGGTCTTGGGCCCTCGAGGAACTTCAAGTGGAGCTTCTGGAACCTTCCAGAATCTCTTGGGACCTTGAGGAACCTTGAGGAACTTTGGGTGGAGCTTCTGGAATCTGTTGGGGTCTCCTGGGACCACCCAGGACCTCTTGGGACCCTGAGGAACCTCGGGGAACCTTGGGTGGAGATTCCGGAACCTTCCAGGACCTCTTGGGACCTTGGGGAACCTTGAGTGGAGCTTCTGGAACGTTCCAAAACCTCCTGGGACCTCGAGGAACCTTGGGGAACCTTGAGTGGAGGTTCTGCAACCTTCCAGAACCTATCCGGGACCTTCCAGGATCTTCTGGGAGCTTCTGGGACCTTCCAGAACCCTCTGGGACCTTGAGGAACCTTGGGGAACCTTGGGCGGAGCTTCTGGAATCTTCCAGAACCTCCTGGGACCTTGAGGAACCTCGAGGAACCTTGAGGAGCTTTTGGGACCTGGGGTGGAGCTTTGTGTGACGTTTGGGTGACTTTGGGTCGTTTCCGCTGACCTTCAGTGACCTCAGTTGGTCATTGGTGACCTTGGTTGACCATTGATGACCTTTGTTGACTTTAGTTGACCATCAGTGGTTTAGGTTGGCCATTAATGACCTTTAATGATCTTGGTTGACCGTTCATGAGCTCGGTTGACCATTGGTGGCTAATAATGATTATTAATCACTGTGGTTGACCATTTAAGGCCTTGGTTGATCGCTAATGACCATTAATGACCGTGGTTGACCATTGATGGCCTTCAATGCCCACTGATGACCATTAATGACCTTCAATGACTGCAGTTGACCATTGATGACCATTGATGACCAACAATGACCGCGTGTCCCCTCCGGCCAGGCCAGGCTGACCATTGATGACCATTGATGACCTTGGTTGACCATTGATGACCATTGATGGCCTTCATTGATCTTAGTTGACCATCAATGACCGTGGTTGACAGCTAATGACCATTGATGACCGTGGTTGACCATTGATGACCTTCAATGACCTTGCTTGACCATTGATGACCATTGATGACTTTCAATGACTGTGGTTGACTATTAATGATCTTCAGTGTCTATTAATGACTTTCAATGACCACTGATGACCATTGATGACCTTCAATGACCCTGGTTGACCATTGATGATCATTGATGATCTTGGTTGAACATTGATGACCTTCAATGACCTTCAATGACCATTGATGATCCTCAATGACCGTGGTTGACCATTGATGACCATTGATGATCATTAATGACCATGGTTGCCTATTGATGACCGTTGATGACCTTCAGTGACCTTGCTTGACCATTGATGACCATTGGTGACCATCAATGACTGTGGTTGACCAATAATGATCTTCAGTGACCTTGGCTGACCATTGATGACCAATAATGACCATTAATGACCGCGGTTGACCACTGATGACCTTCATTGATCTTGGTTGACTATTGATGACCATTGATGACCAACAGTGATCTTCAATGACTGTAGTTGACCATTGATGACCGTTGATGACCAACGATGACCATTGATGACCAATGATGACCGCGTGTCCCCTCTGGCCAGGCCCGACTGACCATTAATGACCTTCAATGACCGTTAATAACTGTGGTTGACCACTGATGACCTTCAATGATCTTGGTTGACCATTGATGATCATTGATGACCATTGATGACCATTAATGACCTTGGCTGACCATTAATGATATTAGGAGACCATTTAAGGCCTTGGTTGATTATTCATGACCTCGGTTGACCACTAATGACCATTAATGATCTTGGTTGACCATTGATGACCATTGATGACTTTCAATGACCTTGCTTGACCATTGATAACTTTTGATGACCATTGATGACTTTCAATGACCTTGGTTGACCATTGATGACCATTGATGACCACTGCTGACCATCAATGACCGTGGTTGACCAATAATGACTTTCAATGACCTTGCTTGACCATTGATGACCTTCAATGACCACTGATGATCTTTGATGACCGATGATGACCGCGTGTCCCCTCCGGCCAGGCCCGGTTGACCATTGATGACCATTGATGACTATTAATGACCTTGGTTGACCGCTAATGACTATTAATGACCACTAATGGTTGTGGTTGACCATTGATGACCATTGATGTCCACTGGTGACCATTAATGATCTTGGCTGACCGCGTGTCCCCTCCGGCCAAGCCAGGCTGACCATTGATGATCTTCAATGACCGTGGTTGACCATTGATGACCATTGATGACCTTCATTGATCTTGGTTGGCCATTGATGACCATTGACGACCATTAATGACCTCAGGTGACCATTGATGACCAATAATGACCATTAATCACCGTGGTTGACCATTTAAGGCCTTGGTTGACCACTAACGACCATTAATGACTGTGGTTGACAATTGATGACCTTCAATGAGCTTGCTTGACCATTGATGACCATTGGTGACCATCAATGACCATGGTTGACCAATAATGACCTTCAATGACCTTGGTTGACCATTGATGACCAATAATGACCATTAATGACCGTGGTTGACCACTGATGACCATTGATGACCTTCATTGATCTTGGTTGACCATTGATGACCATTGATGACCTTCAATGGCCTTGGTTGACCATTGATGACCATTGATGACCTTGGTTGACCATTGATGGCCTTCAATGACCACTGATGACCATCGATGACGTTCAATGGCCTTGGTTGACTATTGATGACCATTGGTAACCATCAATGACTATGGTTGACCATTGGTGACCATCAATGACCGTTGATGACCATCAATGACCGCGTGTCCCCCCCGGCCAGGCCCGGCTGACCATTGATGACCTTCAATGACCGTTAATGACTGATTGACCATTGATGACCTTCAATGGCCACTGATGACCATTAATGACCTTGGTTGACCATTGATGACCAATAATGACCATTAATGACCGTCGTTGACCATTTAAGGCCTTGGTTGACCGGTAATGCCCATTAATGACTGTGGTTGACCATTGATGACCTTCAATGATCATTGATGATCTTTAATGATTTTAGTTGACCATTGGTGACCTTCAATGACCTTGCTTGACCATTGATGATCTTCAATGATCTTGCTTGACCATTGATGACCAATAATGACCTTCAATGACTATGGTTGACCATTGGTGACCATCAATGACCACTGATGACCAACGATGACCGCGTGTCCCCTCCGGCCAGGCCCGGCTGACCATTGATGAGCATTGATGACCAATAATGACCATGGTTGACCACTGATGACCTTCAATGACCTTGCTTGACCATTGATGACCCTTCATGACTTTCAATGATTTTGGTTGACCACTGATGACCATTGATGACCATTACTGACCTTGGTTGACTGCTAATGACCATTGATGATCTTCTATGACTGTTAATGACTGTGGTTGACCATCGATGACCTTCAATGACCGTGATTGACTATTGATGACCAATAATGACCATAATGACCATTGATGATAATTAATGACCATGGTTGACCGTTGATGATCGTTGATGACCTTCAATGACCATTGATGACCATTAATGATCTCGGTTGACTGCTA